GTGTGTGTGTGAGTGCGTGTGTGTGTGTTTTTGTGTATCGGGGTGTGGGTGTGTTGGTGGGTGTATGTGTGTTCAGACAGACTGATTGACGGACGGACAGACAGACAGACAGACAGACAGACAGACAGACAGACAGACAGACAGACAGATCTATTTCAATTCATAAATTGTATAACAAAGGGGGTCGGAGTGAGCCGACCCCTCAATGACCCAATCCGTGCCGGTTAGGACGTAAAAAAAATTGACCACTGTTTAACCCCAGACCGACCCTCAGTGACCCAATGGGGGATCTCGTGGTCAATAGGTTACGGTGTTCGCCTCTCATTCAATAGGTCCCGGGTTCGAAATCTGACAACGAAAGATACATTTTCTTCTCTAAATGTTTCTCCTTTCACCTCGTTTCCTGCTCTCTGATTACCGTGTTCTGTCGCCTGCTTTCGTTTTCACTCAAATTACCGTATGCAGTTGCGAGTGCCATAAAACACATACCTAAATAACAACTAAAAAAAACCAACAACCAATGGCCCATTCGGTGTTGGTGAGAACGTAAAAAACATTGACTATTATTTCCCTTCTCAGGCCGACCCCACAGAGCTCAGTGGAACATCCCGAGGCCACTTTGGAGATGGAGAGAGAGATGGAGGAAGTGGAAGACACACCACAGAAGAGAAAGAAGAAAAAGAAAAGAGTGCCGATGGACACTGAAGCAGGTAATGTCTTTCTTTGTTCCATTTTTGTTGCGTCGTTGGCCTAGTGGTTAAAGTTAAAGGCTCTCGGACTCACTGCTATAAGGTCGTGGGTTCGAATCCCGTCAGGACCCCAACGTTGTGTCCCCAGGAAAGGCACTATACACGAATTTTCCTCACTTTATCCAGGTGGCGATGGATAACGAAAGATCTTGTCAGTTTGTACTGCATGATTCCCAGGAAACTGAGATTGATTCTGAGTGTTCTATGGTCTGCTGGGGTAATAATTATTATTATTATTATCGTGTAAAACGAATAGAACTTGCTGTTGAGCGGGGTTATGTGCTATAAAAATGCTATTTAATTTATTATGTATTATTATTTGTTTTTATTTCTTATTGCAAACTTAAGAGTCTGTATGTTTTTGACTTCTGTTTTTTAGATGGAAACTTTAGAATTTGTGTGTTGTTGGCTGCCTTCATGGACAGTTTAAATTATGGTGTGTTACTTCTGCGTCTGCTTGTATTACATTATTCGTGTACATTATTGTTGTTGTTGTTACGGTACATATATTGTGTGTAAACTGTGACAGTGGGTGGTTTGCTCCTTCTTTCCCATCAAACATATATCGTCCTGATCTCTCCTTTTTTTGTGTTTGTTATCGGCTTGAATTGTAACACCTCTAATCTTCGAAACTTATGTAACCTGTATTGTGATGCAAGTGCCGTAAAACTCTTACTTAAACTTTTTTTCAAACGAACCTCGTACTAAGAACTCTATTGTGTGCAAACTGTAACTGGTGAGTGGTTGGCGGATGCTCTGGTGTGGTTTCTTCTTTCCTATCAAATATCTATCGTCCTTATCTCCCCTTCTTCTTTTTTGTTTGTTACTCTCTTATAACACCTCTAATCTCCTGGCGCTCATATAACCTTTATCGTGTTGCAAGTGCCGTAAAACTCTTACTTAAACTTTTTTTGTAAAACGAACCTCGTACTAAGAACTCTATTGTCTGTAAACTATGACTGGGACTCTTACTAAAACAAAATTGTTTGTAGCTAACTTCATAGAAAGAACTCTATTGTGAGACTCTTTAAAAAACCACAACTAACCTCATACTACGAACTCTCTTAATGTGTGTAACATGTTACTTAGTCCCGTTATTCGCCCGCCTCGGTCTAATGGACTGTCTCTTCGTGTCCCCAGACATGGACATCCGGTCAGTGTACGAGAGTCAGATGGCCAGTCTGGCCGCCACAAACTCCCCGCCCACCAGTGACGTCAACACCATGTCCAGGTCGCTACAGCCCACGGTGGAGGTGGGTCATTGGTTAATGGTTATTGGAGGGGGGGGGTTATTGGTCTTTGGTCATTGGGGGGA